AGCTCTTCCGCATTCCCGTCCATTATAATTTTGTATATTTCGTTACTTTCCAAACAATGTTATTCGCAATGCAAACTAATCATTTCAGAGTAAATAAAAGTTTTTACCATTTCTTTGATTGATAACCAAGTTGATGATATTGATGATGATAATAATAATAATAATAATAATTATAATAATAATTATAATTGAAGAAAAACAATAAAACAACAAAAAATTACAACAGAATGCAAATACATGATATTTACAATTGTTTCAAAATATTTCGGTCTGTCTCTTCTTCTGTTCTTTTTTATTTCATTTTATTCTCGGTACTGAGTTCTTAGTATAGTGCCTAGAGCACAAAATTAAATAAAGTTAAATAAAAGCATCCGTATAATTGAATTCAAATAGAATTCAACCTATTTTCCTACGCATATACAATATAACTGTAAGTTCGCAGAGTAAATAATAATTTTTAAAATCTTATTTCTTAAAAATTCCCTTCTTTCTACTTGCAGCAATAATAAATGTTAAAAAGAAAATAAGAAAAAATTGAAGATTGTCTTCCGATTTTATTTTATAAATAACTAATATATGTACAAAATATATTACAAAATGAATAACGTAATAAATGCTATTTTACGTATCACTGAAAACAATTTTTTTCCCCTGAAAGCCTTGCTTCAAAATGTCCTGCTGTTTTCTCTTAGCTTCCCACGATGGATGTAAAGGCGTATTATTACTTTTTTCTTCAAAATTAGATTTTGAATATCTTTTATCGGAATTCGAATCATCTTTGTAATCGTTATTAAAATGTTTGAGGGCTCTTCTACTTCTTCTGTTTTCCCGTTCGTACGGTCCTGGGATTCTGTTTTGATGTTTCCACTTTGTATTAGATTTATTGGAATTGAATTGGTAATCGTTATTCCTAAATTTTCGGTCGAAGGAATTATTACTATCTTGCTGAAACCTTTGCCTGTGAAATTTACTTGTATTATTATTGTTAGAATTGCCTTTCGCATTAACCGAATTATTCGTAGAAGATGCTAAAGTTAAATAATTTGTTTCCCCATCTTCCATTAAGAAGAAAGAATCTATCTCCCTTTTAACATCGATGCTTTCTTCAACAAATTCTGTACTAATTTCCAAATTGTCATCCAACTTAGAATTATCATCAGCTTCTAACAGCAGATCCTCAAGTCTTTTAACAATGGCTTGCTTAGTAACTGCTTTAAGAACGTCAGTCGGTTTCTTTGTAACCTCAGGTTTCGAATCCTTCAACTTTTCCGTATTATCCATAATTTTCATTGACTTCTCAGCCAATGATGTTTCTCTCTCCGATTCGTCTACTCTATTTTCCACCGCCTCTTCGTTTATATCATTATTCTCGCAGTCCGATGCCATTACGCTTTCATTTTCGCTATCGGCATTGCCTATGTCATTATTTTCCAAACATTTACTATCGTTCCCATTCGAATCATCGCCACTTTCTACACTGTCGTCGCTTTCTTCATCGGCCACCGTACGCTCCATTTCCTTGGATTTATCATTCTCGACAATAGCACCGGGATCCTCGCTACTATTAATTTCCATCGTCGATAGGCCTTTTCGTTCGAGCTTTGCCCTAAGCTTTCTTCCCGGCCCTAAGAAATTCATATAGTTAGGATACTTACTTTTGAATTCGCTTATTTTGGTCGAAAAGCTTTTGTGATTTCCAATTCTTGCTATAATACGAGTCAGTGGCTTTGAATTGCTATCGCCAAGAACTTCATTCAATGCCAATGTATTTTTCAACACGAGTTTCGTAATCTCGTCCTTCTTTATTTTCTTAATCTCAAGAATCTCGGCTATCATTCTCTTCGCTTTTCTTAAGTTTTTCAGCCGCTGCGCCTCCGTGCCTTTCTTTTGTCGTAACTTGAGAGAATCCCTCGTAAGCTTCTTAATAAGCTGCCCTCGTACCTGACCGACATCCTTCCGCATAAGTATTATCTGAAATAATAATGACAGTGTATCTACCTCGTTGATGCTGATTTCTTGGTTATGTTAAAAGGCAGCCTCTCTCCAACGCGTATCCGACGCACGATAATACACGATAATGCCCGACATATCGTCGAATATTCGTCAACTATGCGCTGTAAAATAATTAACGACCATAATTCACCAATGAAAAATCCCGGATATAATTACGAGAGTTTAATAACCTTGACTAAGCGCATTGGATACGATAAGTGGCGATAAGAGGCGCGGCCGATTAATAATAGCAGCTAGGCTAAGCTGATCGCAAAATTATATTTAACATTAAGAGAATAGGACTTACCTCGTTATTAATTTTAGCCTTATCCATTGCGCAAGCACGCGGCTTTATATTTAAACGGCAAGCGATTAATGGTACGACTCAAGCATGTGGATTAGGCGTCGGGGACGGGCATCGCCTTGAGACGAGGGAAAGCAGTGGTTGGCTCGCTACAATCACTCTGTCCTTAAAATTCAGGAGATTTTGATCCGTGGATCAAATCCGTCTGTGGTGGCCTCCCTCGAATTAATGCCCGATAAATACCACATCCAAACGAATGCCCGTAGACCGCGCGCCCGCCCAAATTGCAGAAGTGCTCGGCAGTGATAATGGGGATAGAGTAGCGCGCCTTAGTACCAACAAATGGCCAATGTGCCACGGCCATCCGAGGTCTCGTGGTGGCGGTGACGGTGGCCGTGATGGTGATGGTGATGGTGATGATGATGATGACGATGACGATGGCAGCAGCGGCGGTAGCGTTGGTGGTGGTGGTGGTGGTGGTGGTGGTGGTGGTGGTGGTGGTGGTGGCGGTGGCGGCGACGGCGGCGACGGCGGCGACGGCGGCGACTCTTCGAGCCAAACGACGCGTAACGCCCTAATGATCGAATGGCATCGTCCCCCCCCCCTCACCCACCCGGGGGGAATTTAGTTTCCCATCGTGACACGTCGTACACGTCGCTTACACTAGCAGAAGCCAAACCAACCAACAGCCGAAGTTAATAACAAATTTGAAATTTGAATTCGAGCCGAAATTGAGTATGGCACTCGGTCGAGCCTATCTATCCTTGTCGTCGTTGCAATGGACGAGGCTGATATTGGGGGTAGCGAATGGCCCTCCAAAAGTAAGGGAGAGCAATCGCGACGGCGACTTTGATTCGTTATTCGTGGCGATAAAGGCGCGTTTGGCAGAGTAGGAGAGAGCAAAAAAAAAAAAAGGCGGGATTGATTGTAACTATAGCGAAGAAAATATGTATCGTCACGTTGCGTAGGTGGCGCATCGGTTAGCAGCAGTAGGTCGTGCAAAAGGAGGCCCGATATCCTCCAAAATACTAGATATACGTATTTACTATTATTATTTGAAGACATTTATATGCATATATATAGTCGAGCGCGCGCTCACATATATGTACATGTATGCGTATGCATACGCGCGCGTATAGGCCATTATTTGCGTATGTTTACACACTATGTTAAACACTTCTTTGTGGTAAAGTGGAGTGGAGTAACGAGATCAGTGCAATTTGGTGCGCAGGAACTTAAACAGCTGAACCACGGCCTCGAACATCAACAAGGTTTTTTTTTTTTTTTTTCCCTTCTATAACGATACTATCCGCATTTATTGTTGCAATAATGTATCGGTGTGCGTGAACAAAGTTTGGCGAGGGTGCGTATGTGCGCGTTAATTATTAATCGATAAGTCATTAGGGCACTTGGATTATCGTTCCACTTTGCATTTGAATTGGCCGAGAAGTGCATTATGCGTCGTGCGACGGGAGTAAATTACTTTTACTTTTTGTAAAATTGTGCACAGCTGTAATGAAGACGAACGAGACACGCGAGTTACTCGTGGATTACATGTTACAAAATAGCCCCGAGAGCCAAGCGTTCATTAACATTGAAATAGTTATCGATTTATTCATTTTGCACTTTCGGTCGCTTTTCGCTATTGTCGCGTAGTTTTGAAGTCACATTATTATTAATTTTTATCATGAGCATCCGATTTTATTGACTGTGCCTTTTATATATGTTCGCTATTTTTCTTTTGGTGCTGTCTTGCTCTCGTCATTGTTTCTCAAGGTTATTTTTGATATGTCAGCTTTTGATGAATTTTTTTGAAAGAAATTTGAAATTGACAATAATTTTTGACTTTGTTAAAAGCATGAGAGCTGCTTGTAAATCCATTTTCATCGGTTAATTATTAATTCAAACTTGATTCCCGCGACATTTCGTGAGTCTATTATCTTTATAAATTCCTGCAGGTTAGTGAATTCGCCATTGTGTGCTGCACTTTTCATAAACATAATAGATATATAAGTATGCTATCTTTTGCGTCGCTACATTTATCCATTTAAAAATACATCCTAGCATACGCGACGAGATGTTCTTGTAAATATTGATATTTGTATTATAATGGTTAAACTTTAATACATACTAAGATGTAATTTTTTTTTTTTTTTTTTTTTTTTTTTTTTTTTTTTTTTTTCTTTTTTCTTTTCTTCTCTTTCTCCCTTTTTATCATCAATCAATCTTACACGTAGTTAAATATTTTCATTGAATACTGATAAAAGTAAAAATTAAATTTTTAGATAACGTAGCTCACGGTTACGACATTATAATGACGCGTGCACTCTTAATACTGCAAGTTATTATTCAGCCTTGTAATGCATTTCTCATTGTACCTTTGTTACAGACCTTGACTTCAGCTCAATCTGAAAATTTTAATCTGACCAGCATTTTAATTTTGTAAATAGATAACATGAGCTCTGTACGTTGTTGTTTAATCGGTGCTAGTCGTCTAGTATCATCTAATCATGTATCTAATCATGGTAAGTGACTATAGTAATTTATAAATTATTTATATCTAAGCAGATGTGTGCGTGCGTGCGTGCGTGCGTGCGTGCGTGCGTGCGGGAGTGCATGTGTTTTTAAATTTTAACTGTATATATTTTTCTACTTTTTTGCTCTAATTACGTACAAAATTTCTTCCCCAAAATTTTTTAAAATTAGTTAATAAATTCTTTCCAATTTTTTTTATAGTAAAAATTTTAATGTTTAAAGAATACATATATGTTTGTTTGTGTGTGTATGTGTGGTTGTGTGCGTGCGTGCGTGCGTGCGTGCGTGCGTGCGCGCGCGTATATATATATATATATATATATATATATTTATGTATTTATGTATTTATATTTATAGTATACAAAATAGTTAGAGTGGTTGCATCTCGAACCTTGGCATCTACTGGGGTATTGTTAAAAGCACCTACGGAGCCAACACCACCTAGTAATGATGGTAATACAAGTAGTGGCGGTGGAGTTGGTACAACAGGTGGAGTTGGTACAACAGGTGGAGTCGGTACAGCGGGTGGAGGTGGTGACAAGAAAAACAATCTCATTTGTCCAAAGTGTGGTGATCCTTGTACACATGTTGAAACATTTGTCTGTAAGTTAGTAAATATGCACCCCAAGCTATTTGTATCGTAAAAGTAAAACTATACTTTACATTATGCATTTAATATATTTTTATTTGCTTAGCTTCAACTAGGTTTGTGAAATGCGAAAAATGTCACCACTTTTTTGTCGTTCTATCTGAAATCGATACTAAAAGAAGTCTTAAAGAAGCTTTAAGACCCGAAGAATCTAAACAAGGATTCTACAGAAAACCACCACCTCCACCAAAAAAAGTTAATAGCAACGTGTATTTTATTTCAATTTTAAAGTTTTCATAATTGTTTTGCTGTAAATATGAATTTTTTAGATTTTTGAGTATTTGAATAAGCACGTTGTTGGTCAAGAGTATGCAAAAAAAGTTCTCAGTGTCGCTGTTTATAATCATTACAAAAGAATCCACAATAATTTGCCAACTCAGAATATTGCGCAAACTAGCACAGCGTCAGCAGGC